TAGTATTTCAAAGTTAGTCAAAACAACAATCAGAGTAAGAATGATGATATTAATGCTAACACACATGAGAATTGAAAGTATTTAGATATATTACGAAAAGCTACAGACTCGCACTGGCTGTTAGTATTTACTTCATACACAATACAGTCTAACACAAAGCCATTATCAAATATGATAACTTGAAGGAAATGTCTCTCATTATTAGGCGAGGTGATAAAGCACTATATTTTCCCCAATGCTGCTTAGTGAACCAAGTTGTTAAGTAACAAAGAAAGAAATAAAGATTTATTAACTTCTAAAAACTTAGCCAAACGATGTATAACGAGAAAAAAATCATTAGTTCGCTCATCAACAAGACACTGATAAAACCAAAATTAACTGCGTCAGACAGAATATTTTACCGTTCAATGCAAATAAAAAACTCAGGTAAGGAAAGAAAAAACTGATATGACTAAGTTGACAGTTAGAAAAACGACATATATGACCTCAACACAGTGCCAAATCAATGACGCGTTAACCAGTACGAGCAGTCTACAGTCAACTATGAGTCCTTATTGGTTATTCTCTCCTGGCGCTGTCTGTTTCAATCCAGAACACAATTGTTATAACTGATGACTGCAGATTAGAGCGAAACGTATTATCGATCGGACCAAAGACGCGTAAACACGTAAGAACGGTCTAGAGTTCTGATTGGTCCCGCTTCCCTGTCTAGCCCAGCCAGTTGAGTCCAGAACGTAAGTCTCAGCCTCTGAGATATAAATCATTATATTTCAAGCATGCTGAGTTTATATACCAAACAAAGCAACCACAACTCACCAATAAAATATGAAACAACATTTGTACAAGAATTAGCCAGATATGGCTGTGAATGAGGGATGTAGCGATTAACAGATAGGGAATAATTCATGAATGGTTAATCGTATAATAATAGTTCATAGGTCAAAATAAAGCTCATAATAAGAGAGGGGCATGAATATGAACAGTCTAGTCACATAAGAGTTGTACGATAGAAATATACTCATAATATTGGTCCGTAAATGGATCCCCAAAATTACCATTCATTATTCCTATTGGGATACAACAACAATATCAGCTTCCACTATATGAATCAGGTATTTCAGATATACTCAGTTTATATACAAACAAATCAGACCGCATTATGCCATAAAACAGAATATAAGAATTATGCAAGAACAAACCAAAAACTGGTTGTGATTGTGAAAGACTGTAACTAATAAATTTGGAAATAACTTGAAAATAGTAAATCGTATACTAGTAGTCAATAGGAGATTATAACAAGAGGAATATGAATGTACATGCAATATAGCTACTTAATTGTTATCTAATGAGAATATACGTAACAACCGTCCATAAATAATTCCTAGTAGTTACCATTTATTCTCTGCTAGGATAATAATGAAGACCATCTTTGAGAAAAAAAAACAGTGACAGAACATGTGGCCATATCATTAAGTAGGCGTAGCCACAAATTGATCAATAATAGTATTCTGTAAAGTACAACCTACCTTCAGATGTTCGATGATTTCAAATAAATACAGCATTGGGTGGATTGTTTGTAATGATGAATGTCTCACAAATATACTATTATTTTACTACCTTAAGATATTTTACCGCTCTGAACAGTAGAGGATTATTTTATTCAAATGGAAACAAATTACAAATAAAGTTAACAAGGGAGTTAGTTAGACTATGTGCTGGTTTTCAATAGGCTGGTGTTATGATTCCTGTGTGTGGAATTTAGAAAAATACCTTTTGCATCTTACAAAAAGATGGTGAGATAGAAAAAACGAGAAAGGGATAGTTTTTTTTGTTTTGAATAATTTGTCATACGGTACTGTTTATTCATGCTTTGTATATCATTATATGCAATCATAGACACAAGTTTAACTCTGCAGTACTCAATCGCCAATAGCGTATGAGGATAAAATAAGCCTGACTACTAAACTTTATGAGTAAATTATTTTTTACAATGATTCTATATTTTCTAGATGATTTCAATACGTAATAAAAGCTATTCTTAGACCTAAAACTTGATACTTGTTAGCAGTGGAGGATTTCTATAGTTCATAAAAACCAATGACAAAGCCAAAAGAGAAATTGAACATCAAGTTTTATTTATAATAGTTGTAATGAAGTACAATTATTTTCCTATCTCAGACAGAACACTATGTCAGTATTGGTCACCACAAAGGTCGGTCCACCGGACAGGGTCAGAGTAAATGCTAGTCATTAGCAAGAAGTACTATTTAATAACGCTCTTCCTCTTAATACGCAAATCAAGAACCATAGTGGAAATTTAATGAGAATTCGCTTAATTTGTGAATCATCTTCAGCTGCTAACATCCTTTCTGATATAAGGTTATTAACAGTTGATCAGTCGTATGGTAATAGTTAATCTTAAACAAGTCATCAGCAAGATTGAAAACAATTTCACCTACTCACATATATGTATAAGTTGAACAACTTATAATTTGATGATCGGGTGTTTTGTATATAATACCAAATATTGATGCATAAATGACAATTTTAAGGAATAAGTCAGAGATCAACGCGGTTTGCAATGGACTGAATAACTCTTCGAACTACTGAGTTTGACCTCAATAGCCAGGATTTCGAACTGTAAGCTGATTTTGCGTGACGCTATTAGAAATGTAAAAATTGTCAAGGATTGCAGTAGTGGTCTATGCTAACGATAGGTTACGTGAGGAGAAATACGACATTAATTTACGAAGCAGCGGCCACTGAGTCTCTTATAATGAATCAAGAGAGAAGCGCTAAAAGTGTACTGAATAGATTAAGAAAAAGAGAATTCAGAAAGGAAAATTTTCTTCACTTAGTTCTCTTTTTCCCATTCAATGACACTATGGGTTATTTTAATCATCTGTATCGAATAGGTAAAAAGCGTCATTTAATATAATTAATTCGCAGAGAAATAGCGATCTAACTCAGTCCGTACCATTGAATAACACTTAAGTAGATAATCCAGACAATTCTTAAAGTATCACTTAACGATCCTTGTGCTAAAATATTTATGATCAGTTTAACTAATCAGTCAGTCATAATCAATCTAGAGAGTGGTACATGTATGCATTGACTCAAGTTACTATATAATACCAGAATATAGATAAAATTACCAAGAATAATGACAAAGTATTAGAAGTTATTAATCCAAAGAAACACCAAAAACCAATAAACTGACAAAATTTCAGCTTCCAAAACATGATTCACCACGGTCTGACGTACGATGCAGCATCACATAGTACGCAAGGATGAACCAAAATGCTCATACTCCAGTCCGTACTTGATCAGTACACGGATTGTCATCCAAAAATCGAACCAAATAGAAATTATTACGCTGTGTGACCCTAACGTAACTCCGCCTGGAGTCCCTCTTGGGGCTACTACCGGTCCCAAGCCCGGATAAAGGGGGGGTATCGTAAAAAAAATCGTCCATGATCTTAAAAAAACGAATGCCTGGAGCTTAATTAAGACAGTGATTTCCTGACTCAGTAGATGTAGCGAAAGATATCAACGAACTTATTCAATAGCAACACCGAACTACCGACAAAGCCTCATCAAAAACATACCTCGTGTCTAGCCATTTTTAGACTAGGTGCTAACCACATCTTTACACCAAGTTACTGTACACACCGCCATCATCCTCATGTTGGGATCTATTTAGCTCGCTAACACATGCTTAGAACCGAATATATAACTACGGACTCTAAACAGCTAATAAATGAATGCAATTATGTCGGAAAAGGAACGAGCAGTTGCGAGTTAACTGTGTTCAACAAGTTTCCAAGGATATTTTTAAACGAGCTTAGTGGATGTAGACTTGACAAAATACATTTATTCAAGTGGAAATCCTTGAAGGCGTAAAACCATTGATAAGCCAAACTAAGCTTACAAACTAGGATTACTTCGAAATCCGTGAGTTAGGAACAGATCTGATAAGGCTTTTGGCCTAGCGAACACGCAAAAACGCACGGGGTACAAGAGTAAGGATGGGTAACGTCGAGCAACACAACCTCATGTACAAGCGAAGACAATCCCTCGGAGGGGGGAAGTATCATGTACACTACATCAAATGACCGCACCCTTATAAGAAACCACGCCTGTAATTCAATCGAGTCTGCACAAAAAAAGATAGATTCGACAGACCGTTAGTATATTTTGTGGTAATCAAACCTTACATCTCATTTGTTAATAACAATAAACATAATAGAAACAATCAATGTACATGAATGTAGGGATTACCACATTATAAAGATTACGAAGTAATGAACAGTGGACTGAAAAGTCAATGAGTGGACATACCGATTGGTAAATAATAGCCTTGAAGAAACAGCTGAAAGCGTTTCTTGAATTCCAAAAAAACAACGGTCGTTCATAGAAACATTACTTATTTGGCGAAGACGACAGCACAAATGGATAAAGGGACCTATAGCATCGATCGAGTAAGGCATATATTGCCTGAAAACTGAATTATCATACTACTTATACTAGATGTGATGAAACTTGGTCTTTAGACAGAGAATTTGCCACATCCGCAATAAATGCAGCACAATTCGTGGGACGGCAGTTGATGAACAAAAAAACAAGTTTTTGAAAAAAGCACATTAATTAAGAAAAATCAGCCCGATTATGTGCGAAAAAAAAACAAAGAAACCAATGAAAACTACCAAACAAAACTGTACACTTATCAAGAAAAAAAAAGAAAAGTCATGATCAATACTATGACCGTGAAAAGAAAATATTGCACCTTCTGGGAACGGGGACAATTCCCATTTTGAAAATATTAAACATTTCAGCGAACTTAACAAATAATGTTAATTAGAAATTAAAGAAAGTGATAGTTCATAATCACACAATCGCAGAACTAATAGGCTGACATAAGTGAACTTATTGTAGTAATAAACATACACAGCACTTGGGCATATTATGAAAACATGATATATGAATAAGAAACAAATAAGTCAGTTTAATGTAGCATTGATTATTAAGCCGGAACTTAAATCTTCTTGCTTTGCATGTAGAACTAAAGTGTCGGCCAAATTATGTGAGGAAGTTAGGACTGTTGTAGATGAGGACTGACCAATAGAATCAACAATAAGTCTATCATGACCTATAAGCGTAGATGCAGAAGGTAAGACGTGGTTTGCAGCACAAATCGTATCAGATGTTGATCGGTGCGCCATCGAACGTGGGATAGGATGAATATTGTGCAAAGACTCAACGGGAGCGGGAGGAAGATGAGAATGAGGTGACAGAGATGGAGGGTCACACAGCGAATCCAATGCTGACTTTATGGTAGAAAGGCCAGATGACGTGATGCATGACGAGGAAAGTGGAGTGGAGTGCATTATGTTTTTATCACCATTCGGGCTTACATTTTGAGTGACTAACATAGCATTTTGTCCGCCAACAACTAAATGACTCAGCAACTGAGATGGCAACACATTTGAGTCACCAGATGATAAAAGCAAGGTGTTACGAGCATCTTCGCTAACAAGACAGGGTGCATTGAGATGGACGTCAGAATGGTTCAAAGATAATGATGGATCCGGAGTTAAACTAGGCGGTGCAGGGGATGATGAAAGCTCGACAGAAGTTGGGATAGCTGAATGACAACCAGGGATTCGATTAAGGACTGAGTCATTCATTGATTCAGCAAGGTGTGGGGTAGTAATTGCATCATGTGCTGACCGTACAACACAATGATCACCCATGTGGGTGGACATGCGTGCACTGTGGTTTGGTGGCGACCCTTCCAGACTATGAACTGGGGAAGACGTTGAGGCAGTTAGTTGCACATCTTTGTCATCCACCCACTTATCAAGAGATCTGCGACGAGCATTCATGAAGAAATTAGCAACAGTAGATACTTCCAGATTTAACTGCTGAGCAATGGTGGCCTGCATTTCTTTGCTAGGACGCTTAGTTTCTTTGAAAATGGCATGTAACGTGCGTCTTTGAATATCAGTAAAAACAAGTCGAGGTTTTTTTGAAGAGCGTTCATCTTGAGCTTTCTGAGTTTCTTCTGTTTTTCGTTTACACGCTGCAAAGATTGTGAGTTAAGGAAGACAACTTACTTGCAAGGCGTAAGGCAGACATCCGCTGGTACTCAGGTTCGTTCAACCAGTTCCACATGCGTCTAAAGGTTTCACGTCCTGACTTTAGCTTGCTCCAAGGTTTTGGGTTTCTAAGCAGATCAGAAAGCGTTCCTTGGCTTCGACACAGAACTCGTTGTGCAAACACTGCTTGTGGAATGCTGTACCTTTTTAGCTCTGCGCTTATTCTTTGGGCTAAATCCTAAAAGACAGCAGTTTAGGATCAAAAAATCAAATTACCTTAGTGTTGAGTTCACTCATATCATCTGGCAGGTTTTGATCATTACCTTCCTGATCACTGCCATCAACTTGGGGAATAGGTGATACGTTCCCTAAGGGGGATATGAGGATAGAACTTATATTACCTGGGTCAATTAGCTTTACGGGTTTAACATTCACTGATTGATTAAACGTATTTTGGGATGTAACAACAACTGGCGATGCATTCAAATTGCCAGACTGATTAGTGTGAGCATAAGCTAAAGCAATATACAGATAAAGCAATCTTACCAGAATTCCCATCATGTATTTTTTCATTGTTTTTTTGCATTACCGGTTTTAAATCCTCAATAGCATAACTATGGCTTTGCTGAATTGATTCGTTATCGTTGGCGATTTGACTATAAAGCTTGTCCGACACGGAGGTTATTGGTGGGAGGGAAGTCATATTTGTGTAATTTGTGGACTTGGAGCCTTCCGATGAATTGGGCTTATCGTTACCACCAGTCATTTCACCCAGCTGCATTGAAGTAAGCCCAGCAAAATTAAGATCGGTAGCTAATAAGTTATCAGGCAGGGTGAGAGTCATGCCATCTAAACTTTGATCAGGCATAGTGAAATGAGTAGAAGGGGTAGTAAGAAGAATAGTCTGCTGATCTCCACAGTTGATAAACGTCAGTTTGACAGTTTGAACACCTTGAAGTGCTTGTGCACTACCTTGCAAAGCTTGTAGTTCTAGAGGACCAGAGTCCCCAGTGTTAAAAATAGGAATATTCTCCAAATCACTGAGTGGGAGACCAATTTTACCGGGAGCAAGAGCACCTATAGGAACAGGAGCCATAGTTAGTGTCCCACAACCGGAACTAGCAGGTATTCCAGAAGAAAGCATCCTAGGCTTAGAAACAATGTTTACTCCTTTTCCAGGAACAGATAATCCATCATCATGACTCTGCCCATTAAGATCAAAATTTTGACTGTCAAGAGCAGCTTTTAGAGAAATGTTATTGAGTGCAGCTTCGTCATGCAGGGAAATACCACTAATCAGTGACTGGAATGATCTTTCAGTCATTTAGCATCCAGGATGTATGTAAATAACCGTCTAAGAAGCAAATTTTAACGACCTTCCAGAAAGCGTGCGAAAAAATTCGATCGAACTTATCGACGTTCTGCGGTCAATACTGCGAAGGACAAATCCATTATGGCCGTTCGATATGAGTGCGCGTGGTTGGTCGATAATCTGTTCCGATATAGTACCTGCCTTTTGACTAAATTCTGTAATTGTTACTAATTAATTTAATTTTAAATTATTACTTAAACATGAAGATAGTGAATTATTATATGAAAACTCATTATTAAATCAAATGTTTTGATGATAAGTTGTATCACAAAAGTAGTATGCTGAGAAATACCCTCATTTTTGTAGAGCAACCGCGCAATATGAAACTCGAAGTGTTGTAAGTACAGTCCGTAATTACTCATATTCCTACTTACTACATGTTTTAATATCATGTATTATTTAAAATCATTTAGACACCAGCGATATAAGGTCTCTATCACTACAAAGTGCTCAGATTCAGGTTGGATGAATGATTGTACAACATAATTAAGATTAATCTATCCTTATATTGTTCCTTAGGTTTTTCCTGAGTAATTTAGTTTTCAAGTATTCGTCATCACAATATCACTGAGGCAGAAGCAATGCGTTGGAGACTCATTCTAGTTCATATGAAACTTGTGTGCACACTTGTCCATACAACTGGAAGTTTGAGTGAGACGAGCAATGGTATGTTTCCTCGTCGAGTAGGTCTTGTAGTTTTAGTTATCCCAGAGTGTAAAAGCTTCTCTCATACTTATTTAAGCCGGATTTTTAGTTACAGTGTCCATCACTTTGAGAGCTTCCACAGCACATTTAGAAATGAGCTCTTTTGTTTTTGTCGTCTTTCATTACTCGATTATAAAGTTTTTTGAGTTGGTTCTATAAGCTCACTTAATTTTAATGACCTGATTAAAACGTCATTGCTTCAGGCTCATATGTTTCTCTCCGATCGAGGGTGGAATACAATTTGACAACTGCAACAAGTGGTATCACAACATATGCACCGGGCTCACACCGGTTGCATATATGGGGTGTTGCAAGCTAATGCCTAGTTAGCTGTTCAAGGCATGCTGCTCTACAAAGTCTACTGAAAGCCGTGACGGTTTTCCACCGCAAAACATGTTAATAATTGTTGTAGTCTTTTTTGGTCAGAGGTTGATATGCTTTGGATGATTGCTGCTGTTTAACATAAAGACCATGTTCCTGCACTTGGTCGATTAAGTCTCAAATTTCTGCAGCGGTCTCAACCGGAAAGGCACATACTGTGCCGCATATTTGGTTGCTTGTGATTGAGTTCCTTGTGCCAAAAACAAGGCTGTCTGAGCAAACCAGATCCTTTGTTTTTTTTACCGCGTATTATGGAAATCTGAAGTCCGAAATGGCACTAACTGTAGTTATTATGTGTTCAGACATGTAATCCAGAGGAAACTTTTATAGGAGGACACTCGATTTCATCAAGATCGCTATGAGAATACATTATACGAGGAGACCTATCGGTCTGGTATAATAATCAGCATGATCAACGAAATAAATGTTCGGATTCATCAGATAATTGTAAAAACTATAAAAATTAATGGAGAAGTGCGAATAATTACAAAATGTCTATGTTAACTATCCCCACGTGCTCCTTTTCAATGGATCTACTACCCTGCATATTTTTTAGGTTTAGTGAGAACTGTATTAGATGGAATAACGTCTAACTCCCAGATCTTAGCTAAAATATTAGTCAACCTAATCGCTAAAATTGGACCACTATCCTTAAGGACTTCTGGAGCCAGTCCATCTGAACCATCTGCCCTTCCTCGTTTCAGATTATCTATAGCCTTTTGAACTTCAGCAAGAGTTGGGGGACCTACTTCATTGTTCCATTCACGCTGTCTGGGAATGGAGGGTAGTTGTAGAGTAGCTGAAGGCCAGCTGAACTGTTCTCTGAAATGTTCCGCCCATCGTTCTAAACGCCTGCACTGGGAGCAGATGAGTGTATCATCTTTTTCCGATATAATCTCACACTTGACTTATTAATTCCAGTTTCTTTTATTAGTCTGTAAAGCTATCTTGTGTTCCCTATAGTCGCCGCCTTTTCCATCTCTTTTCCTCTCGTTACCCACCACTGCTCACGGTTGTTCCTTAGACTTTTTCTTAACCTAGATCTGATTTGTTGTCGCTCTTTATCATGTTCGGAACTTGATGGGACGAGTTTGCGAGAATTCATCAGTGTGATAGACTGTGAAGAAATCCACTGGTTCTTTGAAACTCTGTGGTTTAAGTCGCTAATAGATGTCACTGCTGCTTCCACAGCTGCTTGTATGTCTTTCCAAGCAACATCTGGGTCAGCCTCGTCTTCAGAACTACCTAAGTGTGAACTCAGTTGTTCTTGGAACCTATTTTTGGTTTTCTCGTTACTCAACTCAGTTCTAATGGGTCTTTTTAATGTGACTTTTTTGCGTCCGGTGAGGCGCAAGCAGATGCGTGCCCGTATTAGGGCGTGGTCGGAGTCGAAGCAGGTACTCCAGAATGAGCGTCAGGTTCTAGAACACAGGCATACTTATCGGCGTCCGACGATGGTGGTCTTTCTTGACTTAAAAGCAGCATTTGACTCGGTAGACCGCGAGATTCTGTGCCAGTGTCTGTCATTGAAAGGCGTACCCCAGAAGTACATAAACCTTGTAAAGGCTCTTTACTCGAACACTACTAGTCGAGTGAGAGCTTATGGCGAACTGTCATCTAGTTTTGCAACCTCAAGTAGTGTTCGTCAAGGCTGTCCACTTTCTCCATTTCTGTTTAACTTCATCATAGACCTACTGATGGAAATAACATTCTCGTCGACTGAATTCTCGGGTATTGATCTCCTTCCAGGAGGTCCACTTATCGACTTAGAATACGCATATGACATAGTCCTGTTTGGTGAAGACGCTGACAAAATGCAGAGTCTTCTGGTAGTACTGAGCAACAATGCCAGGATGTTTTGAATGCGCTTCTCTCCCTCTAAATGCAAGTTGTTGCTTCAGGACTGGTCTGCGTTAACACCTGAACTAAGGATAGGGAGTGAAGTAGTCGAACGCGTTGACAACTTCACTTATCTTGGAAGTCTTATCAGCCCTAATGGGTTGGTATCGGACGAAATCTCAGCACGGATTCGAAAAGCTCGTTTGGCTTTTGCCAACTTACGTCACCTGTGGCGAAGGCGAGATATCCGTCTATCAATAAAAGGACGAGTATACTGCGCGGCAGTCCGTTCTGTTTTAATTTACGGCAGCGAAACATGGCCATTAAGAGTAGAAGACACTCGTAAGCTATTAGTATTTGACCACAGATGCCTTAGAAATATTGCTGGCGTCTGATGGGATAACCGGGTAAGTAATAGTGAGGTTAGACGCAGGGTACTAGGAAATGATGGTAAATCAGTTGATGAGGTTATGAATCTTCATCGACTGAGATGGTTGGGCCACGTGTTACGTATGCCTGAACACCGATTACCAAGACATGCAATGCTAACCGGTGTTGGGGATGGTTGGAAGAAAGTTAGGGGCGGCCAAACCAAAACGTGGCATCAGTGCTTGAAGTCAGTGACTTCTAGTCTGTGACATGTTGGTAGATGCAGACTACTTGGTTGGGGTCCGTGTGACTATCGTAACCAATGGTTGGAGACTCTTGGTGACATGGCTCAGAATCGATCACAATGGCGTCGGTGTATACACTCCCTATTTTCCCTTAAACTAAGAGATTAAAATCGCTTCATATCTTTCTTTCTACGAACCAATTCTTTCTTCTTGTACTATATCTCTATATGCAATCTTTCTCTTATATATCACCACCTTTTACCTAACCACTGTTATGAATCCGGTGTTCATCTTATTATGCTGATGCGGCGTGGCAACCTGGACCGATGCACATATGTGCCTGGTCCTACGTTGTAGCTGACTGACTGACTGTATTAGATAAAGTTATGGATTATTGATCTAATTACCTGATCAATGTGATTACAAACAAATATGTAGAAGGATGATTTAATTTCTAGTAAGATGCTACAAGTAAACTGTATGTACCATTATCAAGGTTTGACTTGATAATTTCAAATAAATTGGGCATTAAGTAGATTGTCATAAATAAAATATTTGTAATATCCCTATGAGTAGAAAAATGAGGTTTTCCGACGTTTCGTGACTAGTAAGCCACTTCTTCAGAGAATATATAACCAAATCGAAATCCAAGTTTAGATAGTACGATTTTACAATTATTTTATTTGAAATAAGCAAACTTTTCCAACACAATTTGATGTGGTGTTCAATGCGACCAAGATGATTTACTTAATTCGATCAGTCCATCAATTGACCCCAATACAAATATTTAAACATTTAATCAATAAGTTGATCGATGCAATAAAATTTAAAATATGAGTTTGGGGATCTATCGTCCCCAACAACGTGTTATCTCGGTTCCTTGCTAGACATAATCATAGACGAAACTAAATACAGTAGTTGAATATGAATATAATAAAAGACCGTTAGATTTATCTATTTTATTTATTTGAACACATAAATATTAGTACAAGGGGGCACCAGATATATATGCGCCACACAAATCAAAATCAAACAACATAAAGTATATTAAGACCTACACCTGCTTCGGTTTGGGTACCCGGGCAGTATCACAGCCCTCACACAAATCAAATGAGATTTGTGTGGCGCATATGTATTTGGTGCCTCTTTGTACCAATATCTGTGTGTTGAAATAAATAAATAAATAATTCTGCGAATTAATTTCCTATCATATAACTTTAAGAACCCGTAGTCATTCTAAAATCTTTTCACATCTTATGTAATCTACTCCAAAGAGAGCTAATTATGTATTACTGTCCGGTATTTTTTTGTTTGGGAATGGAATTTTTGTTCAATCGCTAGTTTTTTATTGCACTAACCCAACAACAGTCAGATTTTGAGATTCTTTTGCCATTTTAGATCTTAATTAATTAA